TCCCCGTCAGCAACCTGGCAGCTCTATTTTGCACCAATTGAAGTGTTCGGACCGTCTTCAGGGGAAGCCCCACATAAAGCGCGTTACAGAAGTCTAGGCAGGAAGTCACCAGCGCGTGTGTCACCGTCTCCAGGCAGTCGTACTCCGGGTAGGGGCACAGCTGATTAATCAGCCGAAGCTGAAGGAAGGCGCTCCTCGCCACCGCTTTCACCTGAGCTTCCAATGAAAGCTCCGTGTCGAGGAGCACTCCTAAGCTGTGGACCTTGTCCCTAATTTTAATGGTTCTGCAGTTACTTTTGCTTTGTTTTGTTTTGACTTAATCTGATTTATTTAATGTTTATTCCTTGTTTTACACTGTGCTATTGTTTTAATTGTTATTGGACGTTATTAGATGCTTTTTAAATTGTTGTAAGTCATCCTGAGATATTTATATAAAGGACGGCATACAAGTTTTCAATAAATAAATAAATAAAATTTGAAAATGAGAGTGATTTACTGCTATTCCTGCTCAGACTCATGCGATCCAGCATGACAGATCTCCCTTGAGTCCACTGATGGAAACACCTGATTCAAGATCAAGATGAGTTGCTGACACACATCCAGAGGCCAAAGGGAAGGCGCATCCATGGCTCCTCTGCCACTGAGCACTTGGGGAAGGTTTAGTGCATGGGGCAACCTCTCATCCCCCCTAGATGCAAAGCCATGGCTGCCCAGGCTCTGTCTCGACTTGGAAAGCTGCAGGGTCTGTCACTTGCAAAGGAGATCCTAGTTCTTCTAATCCTTTATCGAATTAGCCACAAGAGCAGGCTGGAGGCTTTGACTGGCAGATCAAGAGCCACACCACTCTTCCTGCTGCTGCTTCACCGAGGCCTCCCGGGGGACGCTCAAGGCCAGGTGCCACTGGAGCTGGGAAAGGGATGAAGCTCACCCCCGGAATTACTACATGCCAGGCGACTATGTCATCAGTGCGGGCATCTCTGCAGAGCGCGTTCAATTCATGCCGCACATGTCCCTGCCTCCAGGTGTCCCAAGAGGGGCTGTTTCCTTCCCTGGGAGTGGCAAGCAGACAATCAGAGTCTGGGAGCATCTCGCTTAGAATCCCAGCTCTTCCTGTAGACCAGGAGAGAGCGAGCAGTCAAAAAAGCCGCTGGACCACTGGATGGGACTGGAATTAAAGGAGCACGGAGCGTGGACAGCCAGTTTGCAGAGGAGTTGAACAGCGAGTCATGTTTCCATCAGTTGTCACAGCCGAGGATGCAGAGTGGAGACTGAGACTTAAGCCGGGTGGGAGCAGCCAGAGAAGAAATGCTCCATATCACTGGGACAATGGAAGCCACTGAATCCACAGCTCCAGGCGGGACCATCCTGGATTTCCCAGGGAACTCAGATCGGAAACTGCTGAGCTTCCCCCTGCACTGTTGCACACCTCCCAGCTCGGATGGTTTTCAGAGGGCTGGAAATGTTTGGGGGCCCCGGCTGCCCAGCCTGCTCTCCCCACCACTGGGGGCTTCCTCCAGCCCCTCTGTGCCCCCCCTCACTCTGGGACCCATCCCACCCCTGGTTCTCCTGCACAGGGCTCTGCAGTGGGAGTGTGGTGCTTGGGGGTGACTGAGGGGGTTGGGCAGAGCCTGGGAGGGAGAAACTGAGCTTCCCCTTAGGATCCCAGACAGTGCTGTGGGAGGGATTTAGGGAAGGGGGTCCAGTTCACAGAGAACCGAGTTGTGACTGGGGGGAGTCACACCCCAATACCATGAAGCATTAGAAGGTTGTGAGAGACAGAGGTGAGGAGAAAGCTGAATGCAGAAGGGAAAGGCTGTGCGGAGAGACACGAAGGCAAGGCTGGTGGAAGTGCATTCAGAAGAGGAAGGAGGATCTGAGAGTGAGGAGTGTTTGTGAAGGGAAAGTGTGATACTCATTGGGAAGCTGTTATTATGCATTGTTTAATTCACAAAGTAAATAAGTCTATGAATGTCATGAAACCAATCCACTTGTTTCACCACTGAATATCTATTTTGTTGATGGCTGACCCCGAGTCACAGGTGCTTGAATAGAGGCTCATCCTCAGGACCACGTAGTCCAGCCAAGGAGCCTTGCAGTCTGGGCACAACATTGAGCGAGAGGTTAACCAGCAGGACTGGAAGGGAATTCCGGGTGGCAGCGTTACGTACGCAGAGAACGAGGAGGAGACATCGAGAAAGGGAGAGACAGAGCATGTCCAAAGAAAGGCGGGAGAGAACCCGCAACACAAGGCCCCCCATCATGCAAGTGTGCAGTTGCGTCCCTATTCCTAGATGGAGAACTCGGCATTTGTCCCCAGTCGGCCAAGTGCTGCAGCCCATTGGGATCACTCTGAATTCTTTGTTTACACCAGGGCATTAGCATTCCCCCATTTCTGGCATCTGGATGTTTGACCACCAGCATCCCCTGCACCTCCTTGTCCAAGTCCCTGATGCGAATCTTGCAGAGCTGTTGGCCCAGCCTTCCCAGACTGAGAAGGTGCCACTCCAAGTCGGATCCGGTAGCCAGCAAGAACCCACCTGGCTGTTATTCTGTCATGGCAGCCTTCAGCTCTAGCGTGCTCCAAAGGTCGGGGCACTCCACCAAAAGCCATGTTGAAGTCCCTCCCACAGGCCTTTCTGCCTGAGTAATGCTCAGTGTAATCCCCAAGAGTGCTGAAGGTATTGAGTGTCGTGTGCTAGACGTCCCCTGCAAGCAAGACAGTCACTCCAGCACTTTTTGTAAGAGTCTTTATTCCACACAGAAAAATCCAAACTTTCCCCAGCCTCTGGGCATACAAAAGATGTGTTGACGCCTCTCTGCCCCACTTCACCCAAAGCTTTGCTTATGAACCCTTGGGGGCCGGTCTCTGGAAGGTGGGGTGCTGTGGAAACAGGTGCTCCTGCACTCTGCACTCTGAGCCCCTCTCTGGTTCTTGGGTCCATGTCTTGAGGAGGCTCGTGTTCCCCATCTGAGAAATCTCCCCACTCCCAGTCCTCGTCTGCCTCATTCCCACAGCCAGGAGGGGGACTGAGTCCCACTGGTGTCCTTCAGCTATTCTCATCCAGAGAAGACTCGGATGGAGCGTGTGCGCCAGTGCCTGTTACAAGAGCAATTCTGTTAACGGAATGTGAGCTGTTCTGGTTCAGCCGTCCCCACCTCATCCTCAGAGTCGGAGCTATCAGTCCCACCAAGACAGGACATCCCTCGTGTGTGCCTGGGAATCTCATCCAAATGTGCGTGCTCAACATTGAAACCGCCTCTGAATAGATTGCTATTGTGCTTTCCTCCATCCCTGCAATGCTTTCCCTATTCTGTGCCTTTCAACGCGCTCTCTCCGGGGTGGATTGGTCAACATTTTTAAATTATTTTCTCTACAATCTAACATTGAAATAACAATTATTTAAGACATCGGACATACTGGGTTGACATCTTATTCTTTTTTAACAATCAATAACCATATTTTCTATGCATAGTCCCGTTTCTCTAAATAAAAAGAGTTCCAAGTTTGATAGAAGTATGTCTGTTCCTTCTCCTTCAAAGACAAGGTCAATTTGTCCATTTCTGTGCAATCCAAAATCTTTTTTAAGATCAGCTCTTCAGTAGATGGCTCTTCGTTCCTCCAGTGTTGGGCAAATGTAATCCTAGCCTCAGTAATTGCATGTAAAGTCAGATATATAGCTTGTTTATCAAAGTCATCAGGAATAATGCCTAATAGAAAAACTTCAGGTTTAAATGTTAAAGGTTTTTGTAGCATTTCCTCAAGCCATTTATGTATTTTAACCTAGTATTTTTTTGCCTTAACACAAGTCCACCACATATGATAAAAAGTACCAGGTTTGTGTTTACATTTCCAACATCTACTTGACATATTTGGGAACATTTTTGCTAGTCTATTTGGCAATAGATACCATCTGTAAACCATTTTATAAAGGTTTTCTTTATATGAAGTTGCTAAAGTTATCTTAATATTTCTTTCCCACAGCTTTTGCCATTTCTGTAACTCAATATCATATCCAAAATTTTGTGCCCATGTTATCATAGTTTCCTTAACTTGTTCATCTTCCATTTTTATGTCCAAAAGAATGTTATACAATCTTTTAATCATTTTTTCATCTGATTTTAAAATCATTTGATCAAATGTTGTTAATTCTTTATAAAAACCATACATTCTATAATCTTTAACATATCCTGATTGTATTTGAACCTTGTGCCACCAAGAAATGTCAATACCCTGCTCCTGTTGTTCTTGATTTGGTTTCAATTTTCCATCATTATCCAAAATATCATCATATCTCACAATCATATTAAAATTCAATGCATTTGGATATGTAAGAGCTTCCATAGGAGAAAGCCATCTCGGCAACTTAGTATAAAGCTTTGTCTTTAGATTTTCCCAAAGAAGAAGGGGACAGCAGAGAATGAAGTGGCTGGATGGAGTCAGTGAAGCAGTGGACTCTTAGCTTAAGTGGACTCAGGGGGATGGTGGAGAACAGGAAGGCCTGGAGGAATGTTGTCCATGGGGTCGCGCTGGGTCAGACATGACTTCACAACTAACAACTACAACAACTCTCCTCCTGAATTCCCATGCTTTCAGTAATGAAGATAAGGTAGTTATGCATTATACTGGAAAATATTAGCAAACAAGAAATGTATTTGATGCTACGTTTAATCACAGTGGTGAGGATTGCGCTTGCTCAATACTGGAAGAGTGAGGAATTACCCACTGAGGAATTGATTTTGAAAAAGATTCTGGACTGTGCAGAAATGGACAGATTGATTCTATTACTGAAGGAGAGAGAAGATACTGACTTCTATCAAACTTGGGACCTTTTTTATGATTGGCTGGAGAAACGGGACTTGGCTTAGATTTAAAGATGTTTTTAAATTTTTATAAATTGATTTGAATATGATTATAGAATGTTGAAAGATATGTTATAGGGGAATGACCCAGTACGTCTGATGTATTTGAAGACTGATGCTTTTAGTTTAAAATCTTAATAAAAACTTTTTTAAAAAAATAATGAAGATAAGATGAAGATTCCGTTCTGAAGCCCTTTCCACATTCCATGCACTTATACAGCCTCTATCCTGTGTGGATTCATTGATGGGTTGTAAGACTCCCACTTAAATGGCAGCTTCTTCCAGATTGCATGTTTTTAAAAGGCTTTCTGACAGTATGTGTCCTTTGATGGCTCACGAAATGATCACTCCGGTAGATGTTGATTCCACGCTATACACATTTATATGGCCTCTACCCAGTGTGAGCTCTTTGATGTTTCATAAGAGAATGACTACAGCTGAAGCTATTTCCACATTCAATTCATTTAATTAGCTACTCCCTAGTGTGGATTCTCTGATGTCTTCTAAGACTTCCACTTTCAATGAAGCTCTTTCCACATTCCATGCATCTATAGGGCCTCTCCCCAGTGTGGGTTATTTTATGCTTCATAAGATTATTGCTCTGGATGAAGCTCCTTCCACACGGCATGCATTTGTATGGCTTCTCCCCAGTGTGGGTTATTTGATGTAGAGAAAGTTTCCACGTTGACTGAAGCTCTTTCCACATTCCATGCAAGTGTACGGCCTCTCTCACCAGTGTGGGTCCTTTGATGCTTTACAATTATCTATTTTGATTGAAGTTCTTTCCACATTCTATACATGTAAAAGGCTTTTCACTGGTGTGGGAAATGTGATGCCTTGTAAGATGACATCGCCGGCTGAAGCTGATTCCACATTCCATGCATGAATAAGGCCTCTCCCCAGTGTGCATTCTTTGATGTCTTCTTTCACTTTCACTGAAGATCCTTCCACATTCCACACATTTATATGTGCTCTGCCCAGTGTGCATTCTTTGATGTCTTCTAAATTTCCACTTAACTTTTTTTCACTTAAGTTTTTTTCATATTCAATGCAGTTATATGGCTTCTCCCCAGTTTGGGTTGTTCGATGCTTACTAAGAGACTGACTGTGGCTGAAGCGCATTTCATATTCGACGCATTTAGATGGCTTCTCCTCAGTATGGGTTCTTTGATGCCTTGTAAGATTTCCATATTGATTGAAGCTCTTTCCACTTTCCATGCATGTATAGGGCCTATCCCCAGTGTGGGTTCTTTGATGTGCCTTGACTAAGTCTGAAGCTCTTTCCACAGTAGATACAATTGAATGGCTTCTCCCCATTGTGGCTTCTTTGATTTTTCATAATGCCTCCACGGTCACTGAAACTCTCCACATTCCATGCATCTGTATGGCCTCTTGCCAAAGTGGGTTCTGTGGTAGTGAGAAAGGAATACTAATTTTCAAGGGTGCTACATGCATAGAAAAAGTTCAGATCAAAGGACTTCAGAGATAGCAGGTTCCATCTGTCAAGCACAAATTAGGATGGTGGACCAAAATGCACATGCACAGACAGCTCTGCACCAAATCTCAAGGACTGTCACAGGGAAGGGGTGATGCAGGCCCTTGCAGGGCGGACAAGTCGCTCACAACCAGGCCTTCTTCTAGACCTTAGCTTTTTCGCTCAGGAATTTTTGCACCCTTACCAGGGGATGCCTGGATCTGGACTTGGGTGTAGCCCCGTGCTGGGGGCTCAGAGCTTCTGGGGTGCCAAAGAAG